CGGGAGGGAGGGACGGGCTCGGGGAGCGATCTGGGGAAGACGGAGCGGGCTCTGCGCCGGGCGGGCGGGCGGCGGGGGGGCCAGCGACCGCAGCCGGGGGGACGCAAGAGGATGGAGCAAGTGGAGATCCTGAGGAAATTCATCCAGAGGGTCCAGGCCATGAAGAGTCCGGACCACAATGGGGAGGACAACTTCGCCCGGGACTTCATGGTGAGTCTCTCCCCTCGCTGTCGCCTCCTCTAGCCGGCGCCGCAGCCCACCGCCGCCTCTCCCGGCCGGCCCGAGCAGCCAGTGCTTTGTGTGCGGCTGTGAGGAGAGGGGCGGGGGGGGGCGCGCACCAACCCCGAGGGCCGAGTGGTCTCGGAGGCTGACGGGAAGTGAGACCGCCTCTGTCCCTCAGCCTCTGTTCTTCTCCCGTGTTCGCGACCCCCTTTGCGGGCGCCCGGGGCGCGAAGGGAGCGGCCGCTGGGCCGAGGCCGTACCCAGCACCGCCGCCGGCGACCACCTATTGTTTCTCCGGCCGGGAGCCGGAGGCGAGTGAGGTGCAGGCCGGGGACTCGCCTTTCCACATCTCCCCGCCCAGTGTGCTCCTCCCGGGAGGGTCGAGGCGGTGTGTCTGGCTGCGACCAGGGAGGCGAACAGATCGCGGCTGACGGAGCAATGGAGGTATTGAGGTTGGCATTAACTCATGGGGTCTGTTTGCTCAAGCTAGTCTCAAAGTGGGCAAGGTAGGACTTCTGCCATTTCTGGGTTCATAATTATTATTTCCAACACTTGGGAAAGGATTGTCCATGAGGAATCTCTGTTTACCCCTGTCCCGTCTCTTCTCTGCTGAGACTCAGGTTTGTGGGGGTCTTGGGGCCAACGTGACTTGAGGCTTAGCGGGTAAATGTGGGTGGGGGGTTATCCTGAAGGAAATCTACTTCGGACTCTCTCTAGGGGATGTTGCCGAAGGCGGAGGGGATGTGACTATTACTTCCTATCCGGGGTGGGGGTGGGGAACTTGGGAACAATAGTCCTGGTGGGGCGGAGGCGACGATACGGGCCGAAGCCCTGAACTAGGAGATAACCTTCCCGGTGGCCCCCCTCTCCTTTCTGTCCTCTGCTTGTGCAGGCAGGCTTGAGGGGAGGGGAGGGGAGGGTTAAAAGTCTCGTTCGTGAAATTGCTCTAGATACATCGCTTTGAGGGGGTCAGATCCGAAGGCGTGGGACCAGAAGTCGACTTCCTACTTTACCCCCGCCCCTTTATTTTTCTGCTGGACAATGTTCCCTCTAGGGTTGTTTCCCGGCTTAGGAGGCGGTGGTTGCGGCTGCTGCTCCTACGGATATTGCGCAAGACTGGGGCGTTGGAAACCCTGGAGGTCTGGGGAATGGAAAAGGAAGTGGGACTTTGGGAAGTGGTTGCTCCTTAGCCTTGGTGGGGGTTGGAAATAAGAAATCAGCTAGGGAAAATTTTGATCCCAGGCAAAGTACACCTCCAAGAATAATAACTTAACCCTGATATTTGATTATGAATAGCATACAGAGTTAATATCGATAAAATGAATGAGCAGCAAACATTGGCTTGTTTTTATTTCAAAGTACAGTCGTTTTCAAGATGCAGGTGAAATGACTTTTAGTACCGAAGTACTTTTTCACATTTTAAAGAGACTTTGGTCTAGTAAAGCTTCAGCGTTAAAATTTTTGACAGCTTATAAAATAGATCCTTCGTCTCAACACAATATTGTAATAGTATTGTTGAACTGTGTGATTCCTGCTTCCCAGATCAATAATAGACAATAGGAGTAAAGTTTTGTTAGTATCCTTTGAAGACTGGAAAATATAGGTTAAATAATCTATTCCTTATTTTTAAACATTCTCGTTATTTAGCCTATGTATTTTTGAAACACTACTTTTTGATTTGAAAAGGTCAAAGGAGAGGACATTTCCCCTTCTTACTATTGAGAATTTTAATTATATAGGTATCTTTTGAATGGTGTCACTTACAATATTTGGATAGAGTCCCCTTTTTACTACCTTCTAGAAAAAGTAGAAAATATTTGAGTATTTAAGATGTGTAAAATTAGTCTTTTATGGTCTTATTTTGGTTATGGAAGAAGAGGTAGTATGGTCCCTGGCCATTTCTTGTTTGCATGAGTGTCATCTTGTTATCCCTGGTTGTATCCTGTCAGCATGGAGCATTGTTTGGTGATGCAGGCCATCAGGACAGGTGCCCAGTCTCTGAACTCCTGCACACGGGAAGTAGCCTTAGGGTTCATGCTTTGGGGATGAGTCAGGGATTCCTATTGGAGATTTCATTTCTCAGGGACTAGAGGAGTTTCCTTTTTCTTCTGTAATACCTAGGTATAGCTAGGTGATTCTACACTGGAGATTTGATGACTAAGGCTATTCTTTTATAGTGCTTGCTTTTTTTATTTCCTGACTTGATAAGCAATAGCTATAATTAAGGCTGCCGGTAGTTGGTGCAGCTTTTTCCCTTGATTGGAAGGCTGGAGAGGAACTATGTCCCTCTGGCATGGAAAGGAAAAAAAGATCGGTGGATAGATTCTAACTGTTCTATTATTCTTAAATTCTGATGTGGATTAAAAATTCATTGTTAAATCTTAACATTTTAGAAGTGAGCATTAGAGATAATCTAGCTATTATAACTATGTTCCATTATAAAGTAATAATGTTTATTCCAGATTTGGAAATTATAGAATAATAATAATGCCTTACACTTAGGAAAGTTGGAGTGGGCTTTCAAACTGTCATCTGACTCAAAGCATGGTGCTCTTTCCATTATTCTATCCAGATGTCTTCGAGTCCCGTCATCCAGAGGCTACCTCTGTTTGTGTTTTCAATACTTCTGTGTGCCATAACTATATGTATCATATATATCATTTTGTCATTTGTGGGTTTTTTTTAACATTTTGATAAGTGTTTTTCATTATTATAACTGCTTTGCAAAAATAATTTTAAGTAGCTGGGTAATATTTTACTTGGTGACTAGTTTGTATCTTAACCCCATTTTCTTATAGTTGAATGTTTAGGCCATTCTATTTTCTACTGTTATCTATAATAATCCTGTGATTGACATTTATGCTAAAACTTCTATATTTTTAATTATTGCATAATATATCTTTCTAGTAACACTAGGT